GGGGGCGATCCTCATCGTCCAATTAGTTACACGCAGACAACACAAAACGTGTCGACTATCCCTGTTAGGGCCCATTTTGCGACTCTATATACTTATTTGTTCGGATTATATTATTGTAAAAAATATGATAATCTAATCGACGTGGGTGATTACAACATCTAGTTATAATTTTTCAAATAATAAAATTCAAAATTTATTCCCTTTATCTATGTATTTACTTATCATTTTAGTTTATCATGTACAATATTTACGCGATTTAATTTTAGTTTTCTCTCTTTTTATATATATTATTTTTTGTAACAATTAGATTTTTAAAATTGCGGAAAAATGCATTAGATTTCAAACATGCCTATCCAATTTTTATATCTATGCGATTGTTTATAAAATAAGAGTTTAGAATTTGTAAATCTATATGTTTGTATAAAGTCTTACTTCCATTAAATATTGTCACCACGTGACGTGACGAGTGATAACGAATTTGCAAGTAGAAATTGTAGAATAAAAAGAGATTGATTGTAAATCTGAATAAAATAAATATCTAACGGATAGAAACAGTCCACGTCTCCTCGTTAAAATTTGAAAACCTCGTACCCTCCCCCTCTTGCCGACAAGAGATCCTCCTCTCGCCATGCCAACAAAAGGAAGTCCTGCTTGCTTTGTGTACTTTGTCAAATTACCTAAAAGCCCTTTCCTCTTAAACATTAATATTTTCATGTTTCTAACTTTAAACTGACCACATATTTTTTTTTAAACAAATAATCGATTGTTTCCCCCTTTTTCTTAACAAATCTTGCTTTGCGGTTGTACAAAATTTTTTCATTGCATAGTTTTTTAATCATTTTTCCTTTTATATATATACATATATTTGGTTAGAAAAATTAACTATCTAAAAAAACAAAAACACAATATTTACTTTCGTTTGCATACACACGAATATTAGAGAGGTTATTTAAATTATTAGAAGTAATGATGTGTATCTATATAATAAAGATTATATATGTCATGTAAATATTTGTAACATTAGAAACGGTGTGTCCCTACAAATATTTGTACTAATAAAGTATTTGTAAGCCACTTTCTATTATTGTCATGACAAGTGAACATAAAAACCTTGACGCACTTTAAAAAAGCATCGATTTTCTGAATCTAGACATTTTCATGATATATTTCATATTATGCTTGAAAGAGTAAAATTTAGATATTTAAATAAAAACAAAAAGGAAAAATATAATATTATATATATCTTGTATTTTTTGGTAATAATTATAATGTGTACCTTTTATGTATAGATGCATTTGCATATTTTGGTGTGTGTATGTATCATGTGACTTTGGACGTAAAAATCAAACAAAAGTACATTATGTCTATTATTGTGTGTGTTCTTGCCTCAGTCCAACGGCATTTCCACAACACTTGCCTTTTGATTGGTGCGTGTTTTTCACGCGCTCTCTCGGAGAGTGAGCTCCATTTTTATGTGGTTTCTTCTCGAAATGAAGATAAAAAAAATAACAGCCGTAAAAGTGTTTTGTATTTTCGACTTTTGAAATATTTTAGTCTAATAATCAATTTAATCTCAACAAATATAAGATATAAACTAAAACATTTTATATTATTAGTGTCTAAATTATTGATTTAGAAAGCCCTAATGTTTTATAATTTAGTTTTCGTTTATGATTTGTAACTAATTTTAATGAATTTATTTGTTTGCACCGTTTAAATTTTCTGTCATAAGGAACCGTGATATTTTCAAGAATTTTAATACTTTAACGTATATATACATATATGATGTTACGTATAGATTGTCATATCAAAGCAAGTGGTGCTCACTAGATGGAAGGCGTGATGAAACAACAGCCGTACGATCAGAGATGTTGACATATCTATTCATGACGTGGCAGTATCTTATTGGATGAACTGAGATTTTTTGGGGGTAGAAGACTACAACAAAGTGTTTAGGCATGTGTGTATACATATAGCGTGTATATATTTTTCGTGTTTTTTAATTAATAAATAATATATATATATATATATATTCAATACAAGACCGGCTATAGCCGGTGAGCTAAGTCGCGCACACATCATTGGGGGACCGTTGTTTGGAAATAGCCAAAAATAGGAATAATTAGGATTACCAAATTTTATATTTTCTATTTTTTTTTTTTTTTTTTTAACGGTAATTTTATTTTTTCTATTTCTCATATATTTTGAGGTTGATTGATTTACCTTAATGGGGAAGGCCGCAACAACAAGTCTCTCTCTCTCTACTATGATGTCCAAGAAATTATTATTATATATAATAAAAACACTTTGTATATATATTATTCTTACATTTTCTTCATAATATTTTAAAACTATTTTGTATACAGGTTAACGGTAATTTTATATTTTCTATTTCTCATATATTTTGAGGTTGATTGATTTACCTTAATGGGGAAGGCCGCAACAACAAGTCTCTCTCTCTCTACTATGATGTCCAAGAAATTATTATTATATATAATAAAAACACTTTGTATATATATTATTCTTACATTTTCTTCATAATATTTTAAAACTATTTTGTATACAGAGTATAATGAAATACGAAATTGGGTTATTTTTCCTTCAATATAAATCTCGTTTCAAACCGGTGATTAAATTAGAGGTTGAGATTGGTACAAAAGTTGTACTTACAGTTGATGGGTTCCTATCTTTGATTACATTAAAGAGAAGTCCGAACCACACATCAATCAGTTGGTACAAGTTCTAAGCATTTTTAATGATTTTTTCATTGAATTGTGAAAGGGGTAGTAATAATTTAATATATATATATATATATATACATATATATATATATTGTTGGATTTGACATGAATGGGTTACATAATGATATGGAAATGTCAAAATCATGGGAGCCAACTAATTTGGGGGATCAAAACATGATCTTTGGACAATAGCGAGGACATGATCTTTGGTGTCTTCCCATGTAATCAAACACTCTCCGACACGACATACATACATATATATATATATATTCCTCTATCATTAGATTTTATTTGGTAATTTCAAAAGCTATTCCTAGTCAAATATTTCAACTGCAATACACAATTTTCCCCAATCAAATTTTACGAACCCCATTTGTTTTCCTTTCTTTTAAAAAATGGATAGATTATCAAACGTACCAAATTTGTCTATTTTTATTTTTATTTTGTATTCCCTTAATTGTTTTTTCCATATGAATTCAGTATATATATACGTTAAAAAAATATCGGAGCTTAGCCATAAACATATATATGTAACATATATAATTTGTAAAAGTTACATGGAAATGTATTTTATTAATAAATTATATTATTCAACTTCACACATAGCCAAAAGGTTCCAAAGTTTCTATTATAAACTGTTCTTTTGTTACTTTTAGGTTAGGTTTGGTCCGTGAAAATTCGAAGCATAAGACAAACAAACTATAAACTATAATGATTTCACAATATAAATATCGAGGGGTTGGTTATATATGTATATATATATATATATAGAGAGAGTTTACCAATGTTTAGTATTTCACGAACTTTAAGCTAATCCTAGGAAACTATATCATGCTTTTGCTTTTATCTTTTACATTAATACATTCAACCTTGTAATTCATCGACACTCTTCTTTTTCCACGTGACAAATGCCAACTAACCCACCTTAATCAATTGTTTGACTGATGGGTTAAGTTAAAGTTTTAGCAATCAAATCACAATCACCCGTTAAAGACCAACACGCCTTTTTTTTTCTTCATTTGTATTTTATATTTTTCTTTTAATTGATTTATCAATATAAAATTACCCACTTTTGCATATTGCCTTGTCGGCAGGGTGTCTTTCTTTTTTGTGTTCCCATTTTTCACCCTTCCCAGTAAATTAAGGTCTTTTTCTTAATTCAGTGGCCGTATTTCTCTTTAAAGATTAGTAGTGTTTTTGCAGTACAAAACCTCATATGGTCCGAATATATATATATATATATATATATGTGTGTGTGTGTGTGTGTGTGTAATAATAGTTGTTTCGAATTTTAGTGAATGTGTAAAACGTATAATAATAATAAAAAAAGGTTAAAATAAAAAATTGAAAAAAAAGGAGGAGAAAAGAATCACGTGTTACTTGTGTTTCGTGAACGGGACGGCGGGAGGTGGGGACACGTCGGCAATTACGAGATCACGTTGAGGGGTAAAATCGGAAACCTTTTTAACATTTATGGATTTATGTGAGTCAACCCCAGCCGTTGGATCTCCCGGAGTTGGAACGACCGTCCTGATAATCCTGTGTATCGGGGTGTACTTTATTTAAGATATACCCTGAGTCTGTGTACAGATAATTGTGACCATCGCTTTGACCTCTTTAAGTATAATTCATCGATCCTGAGGAGTTGGATCTTCCTGTGTTCCGCGAGACGTAGGATAATTTCTTTGGTTCACCAAGCGTCCAGCCTTGGAGCAAAGTACTTTAGATATGGCTTTCCCATTGCTACGTGGCAATAATCCATTGGTTGACACGAGCATCGCAATCTTGTGGGTTTGGGATATCTATTTTAGATTTTGTATGAAAAATTGGCGCATAATCTATAAAATATATGTATGAAAAATGTATTAACATAAAATATATAAATTTTATATTTTTCTATATATTATTTTAGTTAATACAGGTTTTAGATTTTTAATGTATAAATATTTGTGTTATATAATTTAGACTTTATTCTATTTTTTTTATTTATGCGATTATATGTGAATAAATAAAAAAAATTATACATTTTATTTCATAGAAATCTAGTCTATAAATTTATAGAATATCAGAGAAAACTTATAAGTTTCGTGAATAATTTGAGATAATTTTTTAGATTTTTTTTCTGTCTCATTTTTAAAAATTTGGGTAGGAGACGCGTGCTATTTTCATTTTGTCCTCTTTTCAAGTGCATACAAAAAGACATTTCGGTAAACTAATATAGAAAAAGACTTGTGAAAATACACAATTTAACAATATATTTGAATGCTAGATTTTGCATATATATTAGAATAAGAAACCTAAAATGTAGGTTTCATTTATACATTTTATTTGTTAAAATGTGTTCAACAAAAAAAAAGAAACTTAAAATGTATAAAACAATTTCTTTTGAAATACAATTATAACCCCTTGCAAAAGAATTACAAATATATAAATTGGAATCCATCTTACAAAAAAGAAAAATTAACTTGTGAACAGTTAGTATTATATATATATATATATAAAGCAAGAATAAATCGGAAAGAACTGGAGAACCTGCTCGGCCGGTGAGCCATTTCCCAAAAAGGACCAACAAATATTCATATGTATACACCCATATATACATATTACATATACACACATGTTTGGTGGAGAGAGAAAATAATGTTTATATATTTTCTTCCATCGTCCAGTGAGAAGGGGACTGAAATGTTCCCTCACACGTCTCCTTCTCTCTCATACGGAGTCTCTTACCAGTCGGCGATTTCATCTCTCCGGCCATGAAACCTCTCTCTTCATCTCTTCTCCGTCCAATGCCGCAACCTCTCTAGGTTTCCGAAATTCCGATTCCTTTGTTCTCTCCTCTCCCCTCTCGCCGGAGACGCTCGCCGTCCTATGCTCTGTCTCTGTAAATCTCTATCCCTTTTCCAGCTCTTTCTGTTTCTCTCGGCGTAAGGTTATTGGCGCGAGGGAGTGATCGAGGCGTGATCGTGTTTGTTTTGGAGATCGCAGGTTCTGGTTTTCTTCGGTAGCTGGGTGTTTTCTCCAAGGTGTCGATCAGTTTGGTTGATTGAAAAAATTTACTGTTCAAGCAGTTTTTGGAGCTTGACAGCGAGGATTTTGGTTTTCGAGCGAGAAACTCCTGTGAGATTTTGTGTTAATTTCTTACGAAGATGCTGGATCTTAACCTCGAAGCTGATTCGCCCGAGTCGACTCAGTATGGCGACTCGTACGCGGATAGGCATACGTCGGACGGCTCAGGGAATCGAATGGAGGAGTCTGCGACGTCGACCTCGTCGCTAGTCAATGCCGACGCCTCCAACAACGGTGGAGGAGACTATGACTCCTGCTCCACGCGTGCCTTCACTCTCAGCTTCGGCATATTGAAAGTCGGAGGCGGTGGAGTAGATGAAAGCGCGGCAGCCGTGGTGACCAAGGACCTCTTCCCAGCCTCCGGCGACTGTGGGCGGCTTAGAGATTTCGGTGGCATGAACTCCAGAACCTGGATCGATCTCTCGCCCGATGGTGCTGGAAGCGGTGTGAAGGCGATGCCACCGGCACCGGTACCAGCGCCGGCGACGGCGCAGGTGAAGAAGAGCAGGAGAGGGCCGAGGTCGAGGAGCTCACAGTATCGAGGGGTTACCTTCTACAGGAGAACTGGGCGATGGGAATCGCATATTTGGTAAGCAGTTGCTTAAATCTTTCCTTTTCTTTGGTCCAAAACCCTCAAGACGGTTTTCTTGATTTGGTAAGCAGTTGCTTAAATCGCATATAACCCCAAAAACGATTTTCTCGAGCAAATACTCGTGATGAATCAATCGAGCTTTTTGGTGGTAAACGTCTAATGAAAATGAGAAATGAACTCCTCTTCCCTTTGTTCTTGCTTGGTTTTGACTCCAAGATAAAACTTGTGCTGCAAAACAAGTTTTTGATTCTCGGAGATTATTGAACTGTAACCAGTTGAATTACTCATATTTTTTTATTCTCTCACAGGGACTGCGGGAAACAAGTCTATTTGGGTAATGAAAATGCTACATCTGTATATTCTCCCCTGTTGCATTTCCATACAGATTCATTGCTAATACAAATCTTTACTCTGGCTTAAACCTCTGTTTTTACTTTACGTAGGTGGCTTTGACACTGCACATGCCGCGGCCAGGTACCCAAGAGATTATTGAGTTTCACTTTATATATGGTTGTGAATTGATGGGATTCGGCTGTTGAATTTGGGTATCTTCCGAATGCGTATTTCCTTTTGTGCAGAGCCTACGATCGAGCTGCTATCAAGTTCAGAGGCGTTGATGCTGATATCAACTTCACTCTTAGTGATTACGAGGAAGATATGAAACAGGTCGGATAATCTGATTGGTGTATAGACTTTGGTGATCTAATCCTTTTTCACTGTTAGCTTATAGATTAATTGTTACCATTATTACTAAATGATTGTTGACAGATGCAGAGCCTAACCAAGGAAGAATTTGTGCACATACTACGCCGCCACAGCACCGGTTTCTCGAGGGGAAGTTCAAAATATCGAGGGGTCACATTGCATAAATGTGGCAGATGGGAGGCTCGGATGGGGCAGTTTCTTGGCAAAAAGTGAGGAACTTCTCTTTGATCTAGAACTCTTTAAGAACTTCAAATGGAACATCAATGCTGTGATTGATTGAAACTAGACTTTGTTTCCATGATAGTCTTTTTGCATTCTGGCCAAATAGAAAAAATAATGGAAACCTAAAGATGACACTTACAGAAGAGAGAATGATATTAGCAGTGGTGTGTTTTTTTGTTCATCGTGGAGATTACGATGCTTCAATTGCAGGTATATATACCTTGGGCTGTTCGACAGCGAAGTAGAAGCTGCAAGGTCATAAAAAGATCATGAATTACAATCTCACAAGAACATCATGTTGTTATATTTCATTTCCACAAACCTCCATGTGTTGGTATTGGGACTACTACATGTGCATCTTTTTTTTCTGAATTTTGTGGGAAAAATCAGGGCTTATGACAAGGCAGCTATCAAATGCAATGGTAGGGATGCCGTCACCAATTTCGAGCCAAGCTCATATGACGAGAGCGAGATGATGGCCGAGGCCAGCAACGAAGGTGTATATCGATCACATTCTCCATCTGGTTAATGTCGAACGACGTTCATATCCTGATGGACTGTTTTTCTATGTGAAGGTGACTGTGAACTCGATCTCAACCTCAGAATCTCTCTCGCTTCCGGAAGTCCCCCGAAACAGAAAGGGAGGTGCTTTCAGTTACCCTCGGAACCTCACGACAAGAGGGTAAGTTCGAAATGCCTTTCTTCAAGAAAGGGTAAACATTTACAAGAGTGGTTATCCATTTGGCAAAAGGGTTGTGAATATCAGGAAATAACAATTGGGTAAAAATGTTTATGAAAAAGGAGGGAAGAGCAAAGGGGAAGAGAGAGAGTGGTGAGTGGGGATGGGAGAGGATGAGCTCCACACCACCATTGTTCTCTGCAGCAGCAGCAGCAGCATCATCAGGATTCTCATTTTCCCACAACAATCCCTCCCTTGGTTTCCACTTCTCCCGCCCCAACTAAATATATACATATATATAGTTAGTTATATTGATATATTTTCGAGTGGTTATGAACGAATGGATGGTTTTGTCTAGTTGCTGAAATTAACATTGACCTCAGTGTGACAGTGATTTGTGGGGGTGTGGCAAATTTGGCTGCCCCTTCCGAACCCCCAAAGGATATTCGGTAATCCTCCAAAGGATATATTATCATATTATTGTTCATGTGTCCTCTGAATGATCCATATACATACATATGCATATACATATATACTTACATGTGTAAATGAGTCACATGTCTCAGATAAGGTATTGATAAAAAGAAAAGAAAAGAAGAATCCTATGTGTATTCAGTGTATATAAGCAGGTCATATCATATCCCAAAGTTGGTACCACAAAGACTATTCCCTGAATTCCACAATGAGATAGGAGGGACACTTTCCATTTTCTTCTTTAGTCCTTGCACAGACATCTTTCTCTCTCATTTTGACTTTCCATTTTCTAGGAATCTGTTGTAAAACAAAGATTATTTGATCCTATGCTGTCCAACAAATGGATATTGTTTGACCAAACTTGTATGGACTTTTTGTCTGGAAAAAAGGGCGTTTTGGAAGGTAGAATTATTTAGGAAATTTAAATTTCATCATCTTTTATAATAATATTAAAAAATTTCCAATTCATATACCTGCAAACCAGTGAAGACGTGCTGCTCTTGGTCCAACGAAACCCAATTTTACACACAAAAAAATTATGATATGAATAATTATAAGAAGATATTCTCATTAATATGATTATAATTTATCCTATATATTATATCTAAAATATTCTATTATATTTTATTATATATTAACGTATGTCTTGTTATCAATATAAAAGAAATTCTCTTGTAATAATATCTGCGCTTATAAAAAAAAACTCAGACAGCAGGCAGAAAACAGGAACTAAATAAGTACGTTTTTTCAAAAACGTTTGGGTGTATATGTTAGAATTTGCTTTATAACAGAAAATTATGAAATATTCATATATAGACAATTTACAAAAATAGAAAAGCAGTGGACTCACTGTTGCATAGAACATACAAAAAAAAAAAAAAATCTTACTGTGGTTCTGTCTGTTTGGTCGTCATATAACATGAGGGTATTCTGTTTTGCCAAGAGATTCCCCATTTCCGCGTGTATTGTCAAATCAAATCTTCCTTTATAGACTCACTGTGGTATTGTTTTAGTGAGATGTGATGTTACTGAAAATCAAATCATTATTTCATTATTCATTTATTCCAAAAAAAAATCGTCATTTGGGATTATCATTCGTAGTCGCATCCTATGCTTTTTTTGCCATTAAATTAATTAAAGCTCGTTTTCGCTATTTTTTTTCAATGACAATAGCCAAAAAACATATGAATTTTGTGTATTTGGCAAATAAATACACAAATTTTTATTTTGGTAATAAAATACACCAACTTTTATATTTTTAACGCAAACCTCCACGAACAGTAACAACGTCAAAAAAAATAACGGAACCATCAGTACGTCATGTACAGTTGTATATAAATATAATATCATTTGTTTAATAAAACCATGTCATTTATTATGTTTAGTGAATTTATTATTAAACTTGTTTAGTGACTTTGTTTTTTGATATTCAAAACATAATATATATGATTAGCGAATTTATTATAAACCTTGTTTAGTGATTTTATTTTTTGATGTTCAAAACATAATATTTTGCATTTCAAGGGTTTCACTTTCCATATATATCATGGTTTGAACATAAAAAAATAAAATCACTAAACAAAGTTAATAATAAATTTATTAAAGATAATTAATGATATGGTTTTATTAAACAAATGATATGATATTTATATACAATTGTACATGAGTTTATAGTTTTATAGTTTCGTCATTTTTTTGACGGTTACTGTTTGTGGAGATTTACGCTAAAAATATAAAAGTTGGTATATTTTATTATCAAAATAAAAATTTGTGTATTTATTTGTCTTATGATTTACTTGACAATCGTAAAATCCAATCCCCTGCCATCCGGCACATCTCTTCAGACACATGATATATATTTGCCATCCGGCATCTATGTATGTTCTATAAAATCTAAGAAATTGAAATAAACAAAAAAAAATCGATAAATTCAAACTTAAATTTTACAGATACTTTTTTTCTTCAAAAACTAACCTTTTTCTAATTGTTAAAGTAACATAATAAAATTTAAACTACATTAAATACAAAGAGGGAAAAAAACTACAAAAGCTAGTTTACTAATGTTTTAAAAGATACACTATTTAACAATTTGTAGTAAAAACACTATGATAATTTATATTTCTAAAATTAAAATCACTATCTGTAACTATATATATATATATTTTGAGTGACCAAAAACATCTCTATAGGCATCATACAAGACACTAGGGCTGGACGTTTCGGTTCGGTTCTTCAGAATCAGACCGAACCGAACCGTTAAAACGGTATTTTTTCCGACCAGAAACCGCTGTTATTTTCCGAACGGTACCATTTTTAGAGAACCGAATTTTCCCGGAACCGAACCGAACTTTAAAAATCCCGAAAAACCGAATATTTTTAAAGAAAATCTATCATTTTTTTAATAAAATCCGTAACCGAACTGAACCGAATACAATAAAAAACCCGATTGATACCTATTTTTGTAAAACCGAAAGAACCGAACCGATCCATTCCGTCCCGAATCCGAACCGTTTTCCGAAATGACCACCCCTACAAGACACACAAACAGACATATATAATATATATTCCAAAATAATAATCTAAAAGGCTGCTAAAATAACTAAATAAGTAAAAATCAGCAGCCCAAAAGAAGACATACGCATGTCTCACATTTAATATAATGTTTTCACACAGCAACATTTTCTCCCATCAAAGTTTCAGCTTTTAATTTATTTACACAATGAGATTTTTTTTTTTACTAAACAGAGTATGAAGAAGGCCTAGCCTCCTCTTGAGTTAAAGTCACGTAGAGAAAGCCCTTCTTCAGCCGCAACATTTCCATCAATTGTAGCTTCTTCTCCTGCACAATTAAAAAACAAAAACCATGCAACTTGCTCAGTATGTTTTCTCACAAGTAATGACAACAAAAAGGAGGTATAAATCCAGTTCTCTCATATCCCGACAGGATCCATTTGGGCTCTCTATCATATATGACATGTTTTCCACAACACAGGGAACTGGAAAATCTTAGGTACTGAAGGATCATGAATGCTAAAAGCGCGAGGCATAAGTAGCAAATTGGTACAGCCAAACCTTAGTCCGGTTTCCGAGCACCCAGCAAGTTGCAAAAGTCACCACCATAATGCCTTATAATGGCAAAGAGGTGATTACACACGTCTTCCCGAGCAGAGCAGCCAGCCAGTACAACAACGAGGTTTAAGCCATCCAGTGATGTTCCTGATGTATGGGAATACAGTCTGAAAAGAGTATCAAACCCCGTAGTTACCGTTGTAGATGTCTCTTGAACTAGGCGTCTGAAGAGCTGGCCCTTAATAGTTACCATACAACTGGTTAAGACCCAGCCTTTCATTTCGGAGGAGATCTATCATGTCATGCCTGTTTCCACCCTGGATATCATTAGTCCACCCATAGTGATCATTTGGCGTTGGCGAGAGCAAGGTTTTAGAGGACTGTTGAAGAGAGAGTTGGGCAAATGGGGGTGTTAAACTACTTCCTTGAGATTGATCTGTTCGCCTTGATGACATCCCCAAAGAATCGCCGAGGGAGAGGTTACCATCACCCAGACTCGGGAATCTGAAGTTCTGATGTGAAGATAGAGGGTTCTGCATTAGCAGTTGTTGAAGCTTTGCCTCGTTTCCAAAAGTGCTTACATTTCCCGGAAAGTTTAGTCTCAAATCTAGGCTAGCATTCTGAAGGCCAGCTTGAAATCTACCTTGCCCAACTGCCAAAATGGCAGGATCCATAAGTTCAATATCCCCAACACCACAGATATTTTCAACTCGAGGCGACTGATATGAATTTCCTAATAATGATGCTCCGAAAAGACGGTTCCCTGCAAGTAAAACAACAACAACAGATTTTCAGGCTATCTGGAAATAGAGACACAAGGTGATAGTACTTCAGGGAAGTAAATAAAAAGGTAAACCACCTGCTAAATCACCAATCGTCTGCCCTATTCTCCCATTTGATGAGAAGCCTGGCGGAGGAGCTCGACTTGGAACTGAAAATCCAGGAGGTGCTGAAACCGGAGATTTTGAAAGAGCTACAAGACAGAATCATATCACATAGAAACTCAATGAACACACCTTCCAAAGTCAACAAAATGCGGGTAAGCATGCATTCAGGACACCACTATCCAGGGGGCAAGAACAACATTATACAGGAAAGAGCGATAAGTATTCTTACAATACAAAACATGTTCAGCAGAAGAACTAAAAAGATAATTCTGTATTGTCATAGAGAAAATGCGGACACATGGGCTGCAAACCATGGCATTCATGTCACATATGCTTAACCTGTTGTTAAATATTAGAAACATTGTTCTGATTAGGAATTAGCGATAAGTGGGAAACGTTGATATCCATATAAGTGAGGACATTCGTATGACATCCCCTTAAAAAGTAAGCAACAGCTTACTAGGAAGTATCAGGTTGGTAGGACAACTCGTTGTATGGAAACACATGGCTAAAGCAACAGTCCCAGGTGCATTTCACGATATAAGAAAAGGACGAAAAATTGATAATCAGTAGGAAAGCATACCAGATGAGGATACTGCAGTATTCCCAGTAACTGAATTGAATCCCTTCAGATAACCGGATGGGAGACCACAGTGCATTCCAAGCTTCTCTACACGAGGATCACACCTATCTGCAAAATCCTGGTATAAACCATTGCCATGCGACATCTTGTTGAAGAAGCTACACGACTCAAAAGATTGATCCTTGGACGCCTCTTGCCTTGCAAAAGAAAATCTCGATTGATTATTCTGAACTTTGCAGGAACTGGGAAGCTTAAGAGACTTAGCCTCTCCGTCGGTAGACCCCAATAGCTTCGCCAAGTTATGAGGTGAATTTAGGGATTCACCCAGGTCTAAGGACAATATATTTGCAATTACACTGTCATCTATTGCACTAGTAGAGTTTCTTTGTGATTCAAGGAACAGGTTTCCAATTCGCTTTGTCTCTCGTACGTTCTCGGGAAACCAAGTAGAATGCTCAAGGCTTCTGCCATTTACACAAGAGGTCCCAACAATTGGCTTATCAATATATCCATGTGAAATGTGTGACATATCACTTCCTCTACCGCCAAATGAGGGAACAAACCCACTGTCATTTGAACAAGACTGCATATGATTCGCAACATGTACTGAACTAGATGTATGGGCCACATTGGTTGGACAGCTATCAACCTCCAGATCCCTGAGTCGTCTGTTGAGCGATAATACACCATCCTCGATTCCAGGGTCTGCACCCATTACAAATGGAGACACCACATCAGCTCCTACATCCATTTCCGCTCTTGCCAATGTATCAGATCTACCAGAATTCTGCAACGGCAAAACTTCCCTCTTTTCCTCGGTACAATGCTCTTGGGACAATTCCACACGAGGTGACTTTAGGGAAGCATTGTTATAAATAAGACAGCTATCAGATCTTGTTAGCCCATTATGGTCATCCACAACACCCTTGTCTGCAGTCACGGATGCAACCTGGATTGTTACGTTCTGTATTCTTCCGTTAACTTTTTCATTTCCATCTGAAGGCAAAGGTCTACAAGTCGAAAAAGCATGTTCCAAAGATTCTATACAATTTGATGGCTCAGTAACAACTCTACTATCATCCACAGTTGCAGATACTAACGCTCCTTTATTACTGCTCTGGGTTCTATCAAGTAAGCAACGCTTTTCAAGCAACCCAGTTCGAACATCCAAAAGGGCTCCCTGTTTTGAAGGGATAGATAACTCCTGTTTAGCATTTCCATGTGAAATCCGATTCTCCTCTAGAGCTGGCTTCTTTAACACATCACTATGAGATGTGGTCATCTGAGTTGTGTTTGCAACCGCAGATAAAACACCAGGTTTCCCTTTTAAGGGCTTGCTTAAACAGCCAGAATTTGGTACTGGAGGCTGGCTTGAGGAACGCATTCCCCTGAAAAATGAATGTGCATATTTCAGACCAAGCAACCTAGCAAACGTACCAAAGGCTACATAAGAAAACAGCATACCATGAGGCTCCAGCAGGAAGAGTAACAGACTTGCCAGAGCTGCCGTTTGGAGGAGAACTTTTAAGAACACTTTGTGTGCTCTGCCAAGACAAAAAAGAAAGAAAATAAATGAATGGGATCACATTCTTATCAATAAGGTAAAAAGCAACACAATCCAGTGGTACTTGGAGAATAGAACAATAGGAAAGAACCTCAAGCTGGGTATAACTTGCGCTTGAAACATCTTTTGGGTTTGTCTTAGCAATATAATTATTATCGCAATAATCATCCACTGGTGGAGGTAACATACTCCCTGCTCGGCGCTGCAAATTATTTGTCACACCAGTAATCTGTTGGACTTTACTCCTTTTAAAACACCAAATGTGTTAGTTGATCACGACAGAAGTACAAAAGACTGAGCAGAAGAAAAGAGCGGATGCAGAATCAAATCCTTACTACTGTGAAGACACATAAAAGTTCGGTGAGTCCTTATTTGTGAACAAATGAATTGTGCATACTAAGACAGCTGTAAGACACTTTAATAACAACTATTCTACAATACATTTCGCTCACAAAATTTCAGATTTGACACACAAAAGCATCGAACAGAACCCTACTATCAGCATTACAGGGAAATAAAATGCCGGCGAGGTGCCCTTGAATCATGAAGCAAAGAGGTTTTGGGGGACATTTTTATCGATTTACCTCATGTAAGCTGATATGATCTCATCTTTTGTGAAACTGTCCTCTTGTGGACCAATCTCATGCAAATAAAGGCAATCTGGATTGGTGCAAGGCTGGACAGCCAAAAAAAATATCCATAATCCCTATTAAATGCTTTTCTGATTTTGAAAAATTATTTTATGCACCCAGAAGGAATCTGATAAGCAGAAGCAAGAACAAATCTGCATACCGCATTTCTCAGCCATGCATGACAGTACTTAGTTGTTCCAAAACACGCCCTAAAGATTAAAAAAAACGTCAGAAGTTGAATAAAATCACAATAAAACAGATATTCAAGAAAAGGACACACCACATACTTCAAAGATCTCCCATCCAAAACAAATCCATGTACAGACTGGATACATCGAATTGCGTCCTCTTCTTTGGAGTAAGTAATATATCTGAGCAATTAATTTTGCAGAAGACAAGGAAAAAGGTAAAGGTTAACACAATGAAATGTGGAAAAAGCATAGCAAGTCAAAATAGACCAAAATAGAATTAACTACATAATTTCACAAAAAGTAGCACATCAGCATCCAGATAACATTGAAGGAATAAATTAAGTATCCAGATACATACACACTGCAAGTATTGTTGGGAAATTGTTGGACAACCCCAGCTGCAGTTCGAGACATTGATACCTTTAGCACTTTCCCATATTGACCAAAGTATTCTGTATGCTGGAGAAGCTGCAAAATTCCATATTAATACCATCAAATTTGCTTAACAAGAAATGAGAAAGTACTTTTGAGAGTGCACATATGGTCGGGTGGCAGAGTTACATCTTCATCTGCTAGATCAAGAGGCAAGCCCACTATGTAAACCAGATTTTTTTGAATCACTCTCACACTGCTGAGTTGTTTCCTTCCCTCAGAAGGTTTAGGCTTAGCCTTCTGTGACTTTTTCCGCTCCATGTTAACTTCAGCAACCAATCTGGTACCATCAAGAAGAGAATAAATAGAGAGCAAATGTAAGAACATTTTACAGAAAATAAAGATTCATAGTCAGCTTTAAACCCACCTCTCGCATTTAACTGCCATGCCTACAACCTTTTCTTTGTCATAAGGGGTTCGACATGCAGGACATCGACCCTCTGTCTCATCTTTCTCGGCAATCTCTATGATATGATGCCAACACCAAACACATATCTGCATCAAGCACAGATGTTGTAAAAAAGGTAACATAAGGTGAATCATCCAGGTACAAGCCCTAAATGTAGCTTATGCATGGGTGCACTTCACATCAAATACAAGATGCTTAGCCAGACAACGTGCTCTTAAAACCAATCTTTCTCCAAATTACAGAGTGATAGTCAAGATGGAAAAACACATAATACTTTGATACAACCAAAGAAAGAAGCATGTCATGATGTCTCATGCAGCTTTGGAGTAAACTATACAACTAATTATTCATAGAATTGAAGATATTTCTCACAGCATGCGCGCATAACTATAAAACATATAGCATCAACAGGAACTCAAATTCGTAAGACTGCTTTGTTTGGAATTTCAAAGAATGAGAAACAAAGAAGATAACATCTGATCACAGCGGCCAAGGAGCTAAGACAGCCAACAGTGTAGTCTCAAACTTAGAAGATGTTTTTTCAACAATTACCCAACGCATACGGCAACAAACACAAAACATAGGGCGAAAGTAGCCTTCAACCTGATAGCCACATTTGCAAGGCTTCAGATGCTGATCAGTCAAGTCCATCTCCTCATCACAAAGAGGACAAGACCTTTCTCCTTCATCACTCATGGTTGCCTAGATAAGGAAATACAACACATCAGTATGAGCAAATTCCAAAAAGTTCAAAGAATTGCAGAAGATACTTCGATAAGACTAGAGCATTGAATGATAAAATGACTAAAGCACTGTCAAGAGAGGAAATTTAACCAAAAGCCAAGGGAAAGAGTGTCAAGCCAAAACCAAATGCAAAGAAAAGGCTTGCTGAAACCAAGGGCAAGAAGAAACTTGACCATAAACCAAAGAACAAAATTGTAAGGCAACACCAAAGCAAAGTCTTTTCCACTCTCAAACCCAACGTGGATGCATCATTTGTTTAAAAGGTTTAATTTCAATTGCTAACTCATCTCACTCCAAATTCACTATACAATACACTGTGACCTAAGTCATAATCCACCACCTACTGATATAATACACTGTGATGCAAACTCTAAATGGTTGGCAAAAAAAAAACGAATTCGATCGAAGTTCAGATAACCCCCCCCCCCATGAAAGATTATCAAAGATTTTTTTTAAAAGAAAAAAAGAAAAAAAAAGGTGCCCATACCATACGTGAAAGCCCACAAAAAAGAATCCTATAAGACTATAAGTTAAAAGCCAGACACAATCGGCTATCGAGAATCGGACCAAAACGTCATGTCTTTGAAATCCAACTTGGAAAACTAAGACCGACAATCGATTTGGGGATTCTCTCCTCTCCTCCCAGTTCGACGATTAAGAACCCTAATATCCCCACATTAGGGTTCGAGAAACAGACTCCAAAGGCAAACACATAGATATATAGATAGAGATAGAGATGAAGGACACAAACAGTTTCGAAGAGATTAAGGTTCGATGAAATGAGATTCGCAGAAACAGCAGACGAAGATCTTCGGGAGACAAAACTGGCCGGATTGATGTTTCTTTTGCTGGTTTTTTTTTTCTCTTTAAATATTTTTCCCTCTTTAAAAAATTATGGAGTTCCATAATACTCCTCGATTCTCGACGTATTTACGGGATATGCCACTATAGTCTAACTCTCTCGTAACGGACACTCGATTCCCGTATTCGAGTGACACGTGTCAACTATCTCTGGTACGTGAGACTTTGGAATCGGTCCTCTCGGGTTAATTTAGAAGCAGGTGTGGGTCGAACCGGTTTTAATTGAACCGGGTTTTTCTCGAAGACCTTATACTTTTGGTTATTAATTAATTTTCATGTTTATTGTCTTGGTGAAATGAGTTGTCTTTCTCGGATTAGAAGGGCAAGTTCATGAATTTGGTAAAATGTTATATTCTTGCTTGTATACAATTTTGAGTTGACGGCTTTTTTTTAATTGGGATTTTAAATATAATATAATATAATAGGAATTAGGTATAAGAGTTTTTTTATTTGAAAATTCAATAAAATAGTATAATTTTAAAATCAATCTTAACTAATTTTTTCATAATATAATTTTAAAAATATTATTTTACTATCGTGTTAGAATGTATATTTTAATTTAACAGATTTATTAGATCATTATTAATATATTTAAAATATTGGTGTTAAATAGTTTAAAGTATTTAGATATCTACTTTTAACCTTTAAAGAATTATCTATAATACATAGTCTATCTTATATTATTAGCTTTGTTTTTTTACATTGAAACCAATAATCTATCAATAAAATAAATTGTCATCATTTCCATTTGAAATAGTATTTATCTTTTGAACGAATCTATTATATTATCATTGAAATATAATTACTTTCGTGTTTGTCAGTATTTGTTTGATAGGATATGATTTCATTTTTTTATTAGGATTTTTTTACTAATATTACTTCTTCTTTTTTTGTTTTGGTAAACTTGAATTCGATAAATGTATTTTCTTTACAGTTATGCTTTGGTGCATATACCATTGAAAACGATGACAATATAATCGGCACATATATTTTAAATAAATAATGAGGACTTCTAGTTCTACTAAATATTATTTGAAAAAAATAAGTTTTCTGAAAAGATATATTCGACGAAACTTACCTCTTCTCTTTCGCCGTTTGATCTCATCTCGTCTAAAAAGGACAAAAATATTTGCAGAATATAATAAATTAATAATGAATATAGTAATAATTTTTCGAAAAGACATCCTTAATAATTTTTTTTAAAAATAATTATTTAAAATTTAAATAATTTTATTTAAAAAAAAATATATATTTAATATTTCGATCATATTACACGTTATAAAATGTGTAATTAAAAATATAAAAAATTTATTTTTATATTTAATTTACTTTAAGTCAACTTAAATGTATTTGTACTAATAAATTATTATAATTATATATTTTTTAAGCTGGTTATGGTTTAAATAGATGGATTAATTATTTTTTTGGATTTACAATACAACATTTGTTTAGATTTTTGTATATTGATAATTTTAAATAAGTTTTTAAGCAATTTTTTTATAAATTTCTAAAAAATTATCAAACTTGAAAAAAAGTGTTTTATATAAAAAAGATATATTCTTTTAGATATTTTAAAAATTCATAATTTTTTAGATTAAAATAAATATTCAAATAGATAATTTTTTTTCCTTTTCTTAATTGTTTAGGTGTTATTATAAAATATAAGATATAGTTATCACATTTAGGTATATGCCTTTATAAGATTATTTACTCTTATCACCTTCCATATTTCATAACTATTTATTCACTGATTTAATGTATTAGTAATATAATATTAGGAAACAAATATTTTGTTTTGATAAATAAATTAAAAAAAACCAACGCCATTCAGATCATGATAAAATTATAACGAAACGGGGTTTATTTAGAAAAAGAACATATAAATGCACGCGTATCCTAAGTGGCGAAAAGTTCTATTCCCACACGTGGCGTGTTTCAATTGGCTACTATACATCATACAACGTTAAAGAATTCAAAAATGTGCCACGTCACCACACCACAAGCTTAATGGAATATTCTATGCCTGAACGCGTTCACACGTGCATACGATACACACCCTTTTTTAGACACACCCGAAGTAACGAAAACGCCACTAAAAAAGGCACGTCCGTTATATCTTCCGAGGCTATTTTCGTAATTCGTTAAAAGTCAAAATTCAAAAAAAAACTTTTGATATTTCTACCACACGAACCGTTGATTTCCCGATCGGGAGAAAAATCAAAACCGTTGATCTAATCAAGAATACTGACCGCACGATCTAACTCATCGAACGGCCTGTATAAATATACTGGGAACCTAGAGGCTAGAGCCGATCTATATCTGAAGTCCTGTTTTATTGTTCGATCTCGTGTTCGGCTCGTGGAAACCACTCGCTCTACTCATTGTCTCGTTTCGTGGTCTCTCTTAAGGTTGTCTTCGATCTCCTGCCTTGTCTTCGTTTCCTCTGTCGATTGTTACGGCATTCTCTGTAGTTTTGATCTCTGTGAAATCGTTTGGGTGATCTGTTTGTGTGTTTGGATTCTGGTTCATTGGTTTCGGCGTCGTTTATACGATACGATCTCTGTTTCCTGTTTTGTTTTTCACCTGTTTGATCAATCATTTGTGATTTATTTTCTCGATATCTTTTTGGGTGCATGTTTTTTTTTATGCAAAAATGTGGAAATGTGTCGTTGTTCCGCTGATTTCGTGGCGGTGGGCTTGAACATGTATTGTCGTCATATCGTGTAGCTTCTGACTGCAGATGGTTCCGTTCACGATCTGTGTGCGTTCTTTCTTTCTTGTTCTGTCCGACAGAAAACTTGTTTTCGTCGCAAGTTCCTGTCTCTCTGTGTATTTGGGAGAAACGATGATTTATTTTGGTTTATTGCTCGTCGTACTCTTACGGAACTTTGCCACAATCTGTCGTGTAGATTTAGATTCTCAGTTTGAAGCCCCCTAAGACAGATCTTAAATCCTTTTTCTTATCTTTTATCTGTTTGGGGGAATGATGATATGTCTGCCTCAGTGTTGAGTAGCTTTCTCTCTTGGTTTAAGCGATTTGACCGTAGTTTGTATATTGCCATGGTTTGCCTGTGGGATTCATGGATTTTTTTTTGTTCTCCCATTGCAAAGATGGCGAAGAACTACCCAGTTGTGAGCGAGGACTACAAGCAGGCGGTTGAGAAATGCAAGAGAAAGCTCAGAGGCTTGATCGCTGAGAAGGGTTGTGCTCCTTTAATGCTCCGTCTCGCGTAAGTGACCAGTTTAATGCTCCGGCTTCTTTCTGAGTTCGTGTCAGATTGTCGGATTGGGGGTTGTGTTCTTGTAGGTGGCACTCCGCTGGAACATTCGATTGCGGCTCAAAGACAGGGGGTCCCTTCGGTACCATGAGGTTCTCTGCCGAGCAAGCTCATGGTGCCAACAACGGTATCGTCATTGCCCTTAGGTTGTTGGATCCCATCAAGGAGCAGTTCCCTACCATCTCTCATGCCGATTTTCATCAGGTAAACCCTTGTCAAAGAGTTGTTTCGTTTGTTCTCAACTCTTGCATTGTGATGACTATGTACTTTTGTTTGTGGCTCATGATGTCTCAGCTTGCTGGTGTTGTCGCTGTTGAGGTTACGGGCGGTCCTGAAGTACCATTCCACCCTGGCAGAGAGGTTAGTCATGGCTTCTGCTTGTTCCATTTGAGATGTTCTGTCCTCCAAGTTGTTTGTGTTGTTCTCTGCTTGTTATAATGTAAGGCCTTGTCTTGGTCTCAGGACAAGCCCGAGCCACCTCCTGAGGGTCGTCTTCCGGACGCAACCAAGGGATGTGACCACTTGAGGGATGTCTTTGTCAAGCAGATGGGTCTGTCAGACAAGGACATTGTTGCACTTTCCGGTGGCCACACCCTGGTCTGTTTCCTTCTTAACTCTCCCAACTGTGTGGAAGTTGTCCGGTTTCTGATGTGTTTGGTTTCATGCAGGGAAGGTGCCACAAGGACAGGTCTGGGTTCGAGGGTCCATGGACTGCTAACCCTCTCATCTTCGACAACTCCTACTTCAAGTAAAGTTCTGTCCTCCTTTTTTGAAACCAGGATCAAGTTTCGAACATTTTCCAGTGGATGAAACTGTCGTTTGTCTCAGGGAACTTGTGAGTGGAGAGAAGGAAGGGCTTCTTCAGCTTCCCTCGGACAAGGCTCTTCTGTCCGACACCGTCTTCCGTCCTCTCGTCGAGAAATATGCTGCCGTAAGCTTTCTCGCGTTCTCTTATATTTCGATACTGTCACTCAACATTTATACATTGGAGCCCATAAATACTGTTGTTGTTGTTGTCCAATGTGTCTTTGTGTGATTCAGGACGAGGACGCATTCTTTGGTGATTACGCAGAGGCACACTTGAAGCTCTCTGAGCTCGGGTATTCGCCCTCTCTCTCTCTCCTCTGTTTCTTACGCAGAGGCACATTAGGATCTAGGTTTTGATGTTTTGTTGATTTGCATGCAGGTTCGCCGACGCTTGAAGAGGATCTATCGCTGTCCTTTCTCTCTCCTTCCGGATTTTTCAGCCGTTTACTTTGTTATCAACAGGCATTGCTTCGACTCCCTGATGAATAAAAACGTCTTCTCATTGGTTAAAGCTCTCCCTCTCGCCTTTTCAAAAAGACTGAGCGATCAAACGTAGTTAGTTAGAGTGCTACCCACCATTCGCCTTCCCGGCTGATGCGCCGCGTGACGTTGTAAAAACAAAAATATTTCCCAAAATGCTATTTTACGCAAGAAAAATGACCCTGTTGATGATGTTATTGTTTAGACAGTGGCTGGTGACACAGGGCTTCCCAATGTCTTTGAACTGCATTTTCCTTTTAATTTACTCGGATGTATTAATTTCTTTTCAGTCGACCACTGAAGAGAGTCAGTGGCTGCAATATAACCATGGCTCCAAACAGTTGGAGAAAGAAATATATATATACTAAGTATGGTTATCCATCAAATAGTAGAGTTCTCAGTGACAAGCTTCTTACAAGGAACCCAAATTGTAAAAAAAAATTTATATATAAAGAAAAAAGGAAACAGTATGTAGTGTTCCAAAATCAATAATAGAGAGGGGTTGTGTGTGTATAGGAAAGTTACCCCATCTGTTCGTTCTGCATCTGGAAACTAGTAACAAAAGGCCAAGCATGTACTATAATATTCAATATATTTTGGTCAAAAAGCCGTTTTTTCTTTGCTATGGCTCTAAAAAAATGGAGGCAAAGGGGGTGTGGGTGTGTCTGTGTACCTTTGCTATATGATGATGAAGCCTATTGGGCATTTGGTAAAAGAGGATTTTACTCGTCGTCGTTGTTGTCGGAGATTAACGCGAAGGAGAATGGTCTGAACTTGTAGCCGTCGCCGCTGTAAAACTTGTTCATGAATTCCACCCAGTGAAGACGCAGTGCGTGGAGGAATGCGCTTAGGGTTTCCATCATTAGGAGTATGAAGGCCGTGGCGAATGCAAAAACCGCTAGCCCTATTAGCCTGATGAATACGTTATCGTATCTGCATAAATCGGTAGTAGCGCACCCGTTACGGAATCAGAAAAATTCGACCTAAACCCTCCAACGATTTATTACCAGACAAGATTGATTCTGTTTCCGGACGAAATGGATGTAAGATATAGTAGTATCAATGGAAGAGAAATAAGCACGTGGTAAATAAATAACTTAAACTTACCCCCAGGCAAGAAGAAGAACTTTCTCGTAGAAGACAGTTGACAATTCCGAATGTGCCAAACTGCAAAACCAACAAGGGATAGAATCAACACAGGGAACTTAGTTGGTCAGTAAAGGAGCAGAAAGAGAATCGGTGGGTGTTACCTAAGAGCCCAAAGCCGAAGGTAAGAGGCTGTGTTAGAAACTGAACCTAGAACAAACTCTATGGAGTGAATCAATTGATGTACAAAAATCTCGCTGAAGTTAAACTCTTCATGATGATGGTCCCTTGCAGGGTCTGATTCTACATCGAGATCCGCCTCAGAAGTTCCGAGTAATCCATAAGAACGACCTTGAAATCTCTGGAAAATTTCCATCGGTTATCAACCCAGTGGGAGGAGACCGTGAATCATGAGAATGAAAATGAGAACAGGCCCAGCAAATTCCTAAACCGCGGTTACCTCCATGTACATATTTCTCAGGGCAAACGGTTTCGGAAAAAGCATCCACGGGACTGCAATTAATGCCAAAATCAACAACACGATCTGCGGAATTGTATCGGGAGAGTGTCAAGAAGGATAAGGGCAAAGCAGAAGCAGTAGAAGCAGTGGGTATAAGAGAGGAAACCATGCCTGAAGTGGACGCTGGCCCCAGAACAACTGATTCTCACCGAGATCATCAGTGGGGCTCAAAAACATGTAGATCATCACATGATACAAGTCCGCTTGAGAACCAGTGCACCACTTGACGATGATAAGCAACGAAAGATACCCGAAAAGGCCATTAAGGAATATCATCTGCGGCACAAACTGATACCTGAAAATGCGCCACAAAGGTGGGAGAGCTACTATTTATTGTCTTGTGTATTTCCTTTGGAAGGAACACTGAAAATATTCAGTTGGAGGACATGCCACAATCTGTGAGAAAGGCCACAAACCTTATGTCCAGTGAGCTGCCAAAGAAGCGTGCATTGAAGAAACTTAATATAATTCCCAGATTCATCTGGGAAATACCCAGCAGAATAGACATCTTCATCTTCAAAGAGTTTAGGAAAGGCAGTTCCGACCGACTCCCACGCCAACTAGGATCTACCCCAAAAGGGTATGTGTTGTGGTACTTGACCAAACCAACCGTATGAGCGTCGCTGGTAAGAAAAACAAGGTGAATATTTATAGCAACTCAAAATGATAAGACCGTGCACTTGTCAAATCGAAACATCAAAGCCTAAAATAATACAGACCTACAGGTTGTATCTCTACACTTGTAAGCAGAACCACCGAAGATGTGAAAAGGAACTGAGAAGAATTCATTGTAGATAAGCCCACAATAAATCGAAAATAGCGCCATCAGAAGGAGTACATAACGGCCTCCAAAGAGCATTTCCATAAAGCTACCGAGTTTCTGGTAAAGACAAGACAAACACCATATCATAGGTAGAAGAATCGTAGGAGGCTGATGAAGTGAGTTTTCTTTCCTCGATTATCATTACAACACAAGTGAGAACATATGGTTAAAGTAGATGTCCACTTAAGTAGAATTCATTACCAATACTATTTACAACTAAAAATCACTAATCCTCTAAACTGGGAAAAGAGGTTCAACTTGGCTAATAAGATACACGCAGGCATTTACTACAGTTTGCGAATTCAAAAATGACACATTGAAAGCACATGAAGCTGCATAATAAATACGGAAGCAGCTCACTTAAAAACCATAAGGTAAAAAATCAATACAAGCACTGCAATTTTCAGGATTTTTAGATCAATCCTGGAGAAACAAATCATGGTAACAATCGATATGCTCACTGCTTTCTAGTCGAAGTGTTGGCAAACATACCTGCGTGCTTAGCTTTCTTTCACGAGCTAGAAGGTACAGAGCTCCTAACAACAAGCATATTCCATGACCCCAATCCCCAAACATTACAGCAAAAAGAAAGGGATACGTTATAACTGAATAAACTGCAGGATTTGCCTCTTGATATCTTGCAACACTGCGCCACAAGCATCGTTCAAGGAGATGTGAGACGAGATTGCAGAATAAATTGACAATGGTGATGAGAAAGATAAATAACTTCACCAAATCTTGCAAAAATTACAGTCAATCTACCAAAAAGAGAAGTACAGAAAAGTTCAACTCTGGCAAACAGGAGCTGACTATTTCATAATAATGGATGTTCACCGGTGAAAACACTGGACCATGCATCTGCAGTAACAGGATGAGATTTTTCTTTCATGGAACATGCCAATAGTATTCAAGGGTTGAACTTACCCATAAGCATCAATAATCTCCTGAAACGCATTTGTAAACTTGTTTGTTCTGAAATAAGTAGGAGGCGATTCGGCCGCTTGCATCACATGAAATATTACGCCCACCTGTGAATTGATGTCGAAAGTGGCACGTTGTAGGACCTCCTGAATCTGATTGTTTAATTGTAAGATGGATTGCATTAGCAAAGATATTATAAAGCACCAAATTGCACAAACGAAAAAAGTATAATGAAAAAGAATATGGTAGCATACTTGGGTTTTAGCAAATGTTGGGCACCAGCCTTCTCCAACAAGACATTTCTTGGTTACATCAAAATTTAGCATATTTAATGTATCGTAGACAGCTTTTTCTCTCCGTACCTAGCAATAATAAACATCTCAATCACGAATGCTCATAAGTATCTTCCCGACGAGAAAACATAAGAAAAGAGAAGATGTGAAGCTATTTCTTACCATGCTCATCCATTTAGTCAAATGGTACCCTACAGAAGTAAGGGCATTGTTACGATGGCGTGTTCCAGCATCCAAAGTGGCTTCCAGATCAGAAAGCCGGGACAAAACCTATAAACCAGAAACCTTGGTATTTCAGGAAAAACATAATCACAGCACAAGTGCAAATCAAAGTACGTTAAAATCTATTTCAAGCACACTAGGAAAAACCAATATACAAATCTTTAGATAAAGGAGAAATTTTGGCGTGATCAACTTACTTCCCTTGTAAGCTGCCTCTGCTTTGTCGTATCCTCTGGCACAGGATAGCAATTTGCACCAAATGCTTCACATATTTTTAATATTTTTGTCCTTGCCTGCTCCCCAGAAAAGAATACTACAAATACAATTTTCTCCACCTGCAAGAGTTCGACTGGTCAGTAAAATATGCATCTCAGACATCATTATAGTCTGTTCTCGTGTCTCAATAGCTTGAAGGTTGCATCCAAGCTCAAACCATTTGCAACTGAATAGCATCATTTTTCTTGTTATTGGTAGATTATGTAATAAAAATGACTGAGACACATCTTCCAAGTTCAAGAAAAAAGAATATATGGGAAAAACATAAATAAGAGTATGAGAAAATTAAAATAACCATTTGTGTTGTTGCAGGATCCATGATCTCCTCGTCAGCAGGAGCTTGGTTGAAAAGCATATTGCCTCTTGTTGCACGAAACAGCATCCTCTCAAACCTAAGAACTTTTTCTTTGCTAATGATTCCACTAATAAAACTCAGTCCTGATTGATTCGAAGGTCGAGATCTCATTTCCTGTAAATCAATAATTCATCTCTCAGTGAAGCACAGTTATGAGCTTTCAACAAGGATAAGCAGTAGGCAGAATCTCAAGAGCAAGCACCTGATCAAGTAGAGAGGCATTATCAACATAACCATTATTTGAGAAAGTATGCTCGTGTAATTCTGTTTCCTCTCCAACGACACGGGCATTACTTGAGACAAGGAAACTGCCAGCCTGAATCGTGTAATAGCAATATATGAGAAAGATATCCATAAAAAGCCAGCCAAATGCACAGGGTCTTTGCAAAGAAATGAAGATAGAGCCTGATAAAGGAATGGAGTGAGAATCCAATGAACATTATTACATGGACGGGGCTAGCAATGATATATGTTAAACATTTTATCAGTTAGTTAGTTGCCTAGATACAACAGTAGAACCATGACTGTTGTATTCAAATAACCAGGAGACGTTCCGGCAGCTTCAAGGAGACAACCAAAGAAAACTAATCCTAGCTCTAGCTACACTGAGAAAAGGTCAACAGGATATGGTTCTAAGTGTGTGATTTGAGCTCCAAAAGAGAGAATAATACAGGTAAACCTACCTTTTGGAGGACTATCTTGAACTCTAGCAGTTCATTATGTGTCTGCCATAGCTTT